GTGTGTATATCCAGGAATACGGCACATGGAGTTTCCTTTAAGCTTCAAGTGTGAAGTGCCTTTTAGACTGCTAGCATTTTTCCAGAAGCGTGTAGTGTTCCGTGCAGTTGTCCCCATTTGCTGTTCCAGATGTTTTCCTGATGCTTTCTAAAAATTAAAGTTTCTGGATCTGAGAGCGCTTTTCCCAGCATACTGCTGCTTCAGGCTGAGTTTTTTATTACTTGGAGGAATTGCAAAAAGTCAGAAAGAGCTCTTGGGCAGCTCAATGCTCTTGAGCCAGCTTCCAGGATTGTTTTATAGCAAAATGCCATAAAACCTGCCTGACTGCATTTGTCAGAGGAGAAACCCTGTTCATTTTTATTCTTGATCATAAAATATCCTGTTTCAGGATTGCCTTTTTGTAGGTACCGTGTTCTCAGAAACATGTTAAAAATGGTGAGGCATTAGAACAGAAGCTGGAGTAACTGGTGTTACTGCACTTCAGGTTCTCATGAATGTTGCTTACTTTTGTTGTATTTTTTTTTTTTTTCCCTACAGAGTAGATAGCTGGGTAACACTGCAGATCAGGCTTGCTTTGCCAGCTATGCAAGTGTTTTGTTGCCTCGCTGTGGGCTTCAGGATGTCTGAAGAAATTACATAGTGCGTTTTGAAGAGGTTTCTCTGAAGCAGCACTAGTTTGAGCTCATTGTTCTGAGTACTGTGGTGTGCAGCTTTCACTTGTAACATGGGACCACTTATGCACTAAACTTCTTGAATTAATGTTTTGAGGGGCAGTGAGTATTGTTAGCACCTACAATCAAGTGATCTTGAGTTAAGCTTAAGTTAAGCAAATTCAATTGTGATTTCCCTGCCTCCCATACGCTGTTGTCTTTTGTGTATAGAAGCTGATTTGTGATCTCTCCTCCCAGATGAATTGGGGAACTTGCAGTTCACAAATTTCAGTGGTTAGATTTAGAATAATCATCTAGGAAAACAGAAGTCTAGATTGTGATGTAAGCCCTGAAGCACAAGATTTTATATACATCATGACACCTACTAGTATTGTTATATCTGCATATTCTCATCATAAGTTGTCTTTCTAGATAGACACTTCCCTGACAGCATAAGAGAAGGACCACCATAGTCTAATTTTGCACTGCATAAGGAGGATTTCTTTTGTATCTATTTGGAATTTCCTGTTTGTTTGTTTTTGTTTTTTTTTTTAATATCTAACCCTTGTGTTATGCAACAGGTAGAACAAAATACCTTGTCTTCCACTTCTTGATATATCTTCAGAGCTCATGGCCTAGAATGTAGAGTACTTTTTTTATTGGAAACTTCCCTTAGCAGTCTATTTTCCAAGTTTGTCTTCCTTGAATGGCCAGGATACTGCCCATATAGGATTGTGAATCATTACAATCATTATAAACCAAGATTTTTCTCATAAGATTATTAAAAATCACAACGACTATAATACTGATAATCAGAAATCTGCACCTTCTTCCCATAATAATAAAGTATTCTTCACATGACACTTTATCTTAACAAAACAAGCCACTTTTATTTAGCATCTACCCAATTCGTTCGTTAGGGGGCACTGCACAGCTATAGAAGAATCAGTGGGATTTGCAGAGAAACTTGGATGCCATTTCACTTTCCATAACCTCGTCTTCCAAACTGTCTGGGGGCAGTGTAAGATGAAAGTCATTGCTGTAATTTAAGCTCAGTTCTGACTAAGACTGTTTTTGGTAGCAGTTTATGGTAATTATACAATGCTAGAATATAAACTTTCACATTCCTTTTCTGTGTGCGGAGAAGTGTCTTCACAGTAGTTCACAGCACTGTCTGATTTGCCATTTGTGTTGGTTTTACACTTAAGAAGATGCATACTTCTACACGCTGCTTTCTAAATGTTAAACCTGGGGCATAATTACACTCACTGGACTTTGATTTAGTTTGTATATACAGTTGGAAATACCGGTTACTTCCAATGGATCCTGATGGGGAAATGTTTGTCTTAAACAATTGATTTCTCTCCGACACTGTACCCAAACATATATTTTGCTTTTGGACATGGACTTTCCTGTGATGAATACCAAAATTGTTGCACTGGAGAGAAATTGCTGTAAAAAGCATTTTATAAACTCAACACAGGAGCAGAATGCGTTGCAGTAATGAACGTTAATCTGTACCAGTATGTTTCTGACGAGAATGTACAGGGAGTCATTTTTTTCCAGATATTTGAGCTGATAAGGTGCTACATTGAGAAGATTCCCAGTTACTTTATAGGGGTTTATTTTTCTGTTTGTTTGGTTTAGCACGCCCCTTATACACGTTAACCTACATTTGCATGGGTTTCAAATTTCAGAAACTTTCTTCTTTTACTATTAAAAATAAGGAAATAATTTCATAAGCTTTGTTGCATGTTGAGCCTAATTTTCATCGATTTTTGTCCTGTGTTTTACATGCCTTTTGCTCCTTACCCTGTTTCCTGTGGTACCCTTACAAGCAAATGGCAGAATATAGTAGGATCTAATAAAGCTTGTTTTCAAGGAGACTAGGCTAAAACAATCTTGTCCGTTGTTGAAGGGTAGCTACCCAAAGATGACAAGAAATCCAGCCAAACTCTTCTGATGGAAGTTGGCAAAGAGGCAGTGCGCAAGGTGAAGAGTCTCCTTTGACCTCTTGTGCAGGAAAGATGCAAAGTCTTAGACATAGTTAAATGTTTTTCTTAGCCTGCTTTCAGGACTTCTGCCAGTGGTGCCGCACCTGCGTCATTTGTCTGAAGTCCTCTCTAAACCTAGATGAAGTGCGTAACTGAAGCAAAGGGAAGGTTAAATCTATGTTAAATCTAGAGAGTAGAGGAATGTGACGAGGGTAGCTTGTTCCTTCTTGGAGTGATGTATTCTCCCTGAGACCTTTCGGGAAGCAATGCCTGTTGTGGTGCCTTGTCAGCCCTGTTTCAGTGGTTGTCACATGGGTAGGCACTCATGCCTAATGCCGCTTAGGTCAAGAGTATGACGGGTTATGCTACACGAACCAAAGCTGCCTAGAATAAACCTTGTGGTCATCCTTATGGCTGAAAACACAAATAAAATAGTCTTTGGCATTGACAGCTATTGCACTGAATGATTAACTCTGGTCAGGGAAAAAAGTAATGCTACTCTATGACCCGTTCAAATGTCAAACATGAATATGTTGTATTCAGTTGGCTTTCGGAGGACAATACTTACATTTCACACTGGAAGCAAACAGCGCAATTGTGCTGTTTCCAAGGATGTCTGTTATTCTGGCTCATGCCAGCCTGGCACTTCACTTTTACCACCTCTGTCAAAACAGATCTCTCAATCGTGTGGAGTCGGTTGTTGCTGTGTCTGAAACGCTTGTCTCTTAATAATCCTGTAAATAGTTGTTATCTCAGTTTTATGTCTAAGCCACAGCTGTAGTCAGCAATTTTTTCACTAACTATGACGTGAAACATTTCAATGCTTAAACAAAGATTTAAGACAAAAATCTTAAACATGGCAGATCTTGTTTTATGAAACTTATCAGTCACAGCGATAGTTAGGCACAAAATATTAGTATTAACCCTTCTCACCCAGTTTTAGTTTATAACTTTATTATATTTTTTTTGTCCTTTAAGAAAAGTTGAGTTAGTATATGAAGGCATTAATGTAGCTGTGTACTCAGATAGGGACTTCTGTACCCTGGTTTTACAAGCTGGCCACGGTTAGATGCCCTTTTCTGATGAACAGCCAAGCAGCCCCTCCGTGGAGGAAGAACATGTACTTCTCCCCACCATCCCTCTGGTTATTGTTTTTTCCCCTTTGGTTTTTTTTTGCATGAGAAAAAATCACAGTGCTGGTGGATAATAAGCTGAGCACAAGCCAGCAGAACAAACACCCTTACAGCCACGAAGGCCTGTATTGCTGTATTAGCAAGTGTGTAGCCATCGGGTTGAGGGAAGCGGCGGTGCCTACCTGTTTAGTACTGGCAAGGCTGCATCGGGAGAGCTGCGTCCAGCTTGGGCTTCCTCTTGACATTGGTGTACTGAAACAAGGGCACTGGAAGGGCTTGTCAAGATGACGTGAGGAATGGAGCATGTGATGAAGGAGAAGCTGGGGGAGTGGGCTTATTCATTCTGGAAAAAAGGAGGCAAAGGAGGAGGGGAAACCTTCCTGCTGTCTTTGACTGTGTGATGGGGTGGGGAAGATGGAGAAATACTTCTCGCAGGTGCATGGCACTTCCACATATTCCACTATGAAAAGTCAGTAAGGGAATTCCTGATAAGCTATTAGGAAAAAAAAATTTCACCATGAGGGATTTCAGACATTGGAACAGATTGTCCAGAAAGGTTGTGGCCTCTCCACCCTGAGAGCAATTCAAAACTCAGTGTGGCCCAAGGCAACCTGATCTGTGTTGGCTCTGCAGTTGAGCTGGAGGTTGGATAAGATAATCTCCAAGGTCCCTTCCAACCTGAATTATTGATTAGACTGTTGTTAGTGAGGTGAGAGCTCTTGTAATCTTCTGTTTATAAATGCGATGAAGGAGTTTTGCTTAGCTTTCGGTCCAGCTTGCCTGTTCCAGGAGTGTTTATACGTGTTAAAAATGTACAGACATCCCACAGATTTGATCTTGTGCTGTAGAAGGGTATGTATGGGGATGTCCTTCCTCACTTGTTCCTCTTAAGATTTAACACCTCTAATGGCTTCTTTTTTTTTTTTTTGGAGATGTGAGGTAAATCAAACTAGTTTTGAGGTAAATAACGTGTGCCTGAGTGCGTCGGTATCTGGGGGACTAGGGACTGCTGCTCTCATTTTACTGAGATTAAGCTCTTAGCAGACAGTTCTCTCTCTCCTCTGTGTCAGTAATGCACCTGGTTATTTCATTAACTTTAATAACAAGCAGGAGCATGCAAAATCAGCAGATGGTTGGATTTCTTCTTCCTAGGTCGAACTTTTGGATTTGCGTGTACCTGGACGCTTGTAACACTTTTTGTATTTGACTTTCAATGTTCACAGCAATTGGAAGAAAAAAGTGAGGATGAAGAGGATAAAGAGTGCTTAAAGCAAGCAATAACTGCCCTGCTAAATCTTCAAAGCAGTATGGAACGGATATGCTCCAAAAGCCTTGCAAAACGAAGGCTTAGGTAAACATGTTTCCATTTTTCCTGCTTTCTGCTCTTAATGCTTTGCTATAAATCCAGGGCTCCCAGTTTCCTCTTTTAGTAAACAATGAACAAAATAGTTTGTGACAAGCCTGCTTTTTCAGAGGAAGTGACATCAAAGCCAAGATAATTTGTTATTGTTTTAAAACCGTTCTAATTTCTGTGTGTCCTTGCATACTGGTAGTTGAAACGTTTTGAGAATTCACTGGTAAGTAGAAAGTTATGGCATTTGTGGGTTAATTATGCTCAGACAAGAAATATCCACCTAAAAATATTGTAAAAGTACATTTCTGTGCAATTAGAAGGGAATGTTCTTGAATTTGTAACTACTTAATCTGAAGGGGTTTTTGTGCAATGGCTAGTTAAAATTACCACTGGATAATAGACGTAGATGCATAGATGACTAGTACTTAGTTGCACTGTTGTAGCAAATTCTTGGATTATACTATCTGCTGTTTGATTTTGTGCAGTTATTTAAACATGTTAAAACTTTGCTTTTGCTCTTAAAATTGTTTCAGTATTTTCTTTGTCAAACAAGTTCTGTGCTGCAAAGTGTAATCTTTAGGCTTGGACATAAATGCATTTAACAGTTTATTTTCTCTGAATGTGCTTCTTTCAAATTAATGCAGTCTAAAATTGTTTGTCAGCTATGGAAATGAGTGGTTTGTTAGGCTAAGAAGCACTAACGGCTTGCCTGTGTTTAGGTAAAACATTTATTGTGTAGAAAATAAGTAGAAAACTTATCAGATGAGGTACTTAAGAGAAATATTAGTCGACTTGCAATAGTGCTGATACTGAGTGCTGAAATTGCATTCTCAGTGGAATTCTCACCACTCAGAAAGATGATCTTGTGTTTTTGCTGTTAGTGGTGGTTGTGGTTTTTAAATACACGTATACTAATAGGCTGCCTTTCTCCCACATCCTTCACTGAAGTGAATCTGCATGCCGATTCTATACTCAGCAGATGAAGGGGAAACAGCTAGCAATTAAGAAAATGAACGAAATCCAGAAAAACATTGATGGTTGGGAGGGTAAGGACATTGGACAATGCTGTAACGAGTTCATCATGGAAGGAACACTCACGCGTGTAGGAGCAAAGCACGAGAGACACATATTTCTATTTGATGGCTTGATGATTTGCTGTAAGTCAAATCACGGGCAGCCAAGACTTCCTGGTGCTAGCAATGCAGAATATCGTCTGAAAGAAAAGTTCTTCATGCGAAAGGTACAAATCAACGATAAAGACGACACTAATGAGTACAGACATGCTTTTGAAATCATCTTAAAAGATGAGAACAGTGTTATTTTTGCTGCTAAATCAGCTGAAGAGAAAAACAACTGGATGGCAGCATTGATATCTTTGCAATATAGAAGCACGCTAGAAAGGATGTTGGATGTAACAATGTTGCAGGAAGAAAAAGAGGAGCAGATGAGATTTCCAAATCCTGAGCTTTATAGATTTGCAGAACCCGACTCTGAAGAGAATATTGTGTTTGAAGAAAACATGCAGCCCAAATCTGGAATCCCCATCATCAAGGCAGGAACTGTTGTCAAGCTGATCGAGAGGCTGACTTACCACATGTATGCAGGTGAGGCACTTCATTTATATAGCCAAAACTCAAGGTGGTGCTTCTCTTTCTGTGTTAAATACATGCAGCAAAATATAAAGTGTGTAGAAAGCGAATATGCTTTGCAGTGCACATATTCTAACATGCTTTTTGACTTAAGGTTTTGAGATCTAAATACACACCTTTGTAGCTGTAGCGATTAAAAATATGAATCCTGTTTGACTGAACGTAGTGGGATATGCATGTGCAGAAGGTTATTCTCATGCAAGGGATGGGGGGCGGGGGCCTGCAGGAATTGAGCTCTAGACAATACTTTTTCCTGTATGCCACAGGCTACCAGAATTGCCTTCCCTCGAGACTTCCAAAGCTGGGTGGCACATGAAGAGCCAACATTGCGGGAGAGAATTATGGCCCCAGTATTTTCAGTTACGGGTTGTACTCTATCAGCTATTACCTGTGTCCATGCTGGCATGTAACGAAAAGACCAAATATCAGCTTGCTAGAAACAAGTCACTTGCATAATTTGTCCTCAGAACTTTGCCTTAATCAGAATTTCAGTGGGGATTTGATTTAAGGACTTTTGACTTTGGGTTTCTCTTTGTGTTGAAGATACATCGAAGGCATTGATGTGATCATCCAGTCCAACCTCAGTGTGTGGAGTTTTTCTTGATAATTTCCCAGGATTTTCCTATGCTGTGCTGAAAAGCATGGGCTTGGGCTTGGGTTTCGTTTTTCTTTGTTATTTTTTTGATTCTACCTGTATGTCAGTTATTCTAAAATTTCATGCATCGTGGTATTAGTGCTTCTGATATTCAACTGTAGCCATTTTTTTTCCCCTTTCTTTTTACTCCTAAATTGTTCTTCTGCAGCTCAGTCCTGGATACCCTGCATAGACCAGGAATATTTGTTTGGAAGAAGTGGGGAGTAAGCAGAATATAATTAGTGTAGCTTAATACTTTTATTTATTTTTAAAATGCTTGTAAATACATCTGTTTACTCCATTACTTTTATTGCTCTTCTCTATTTCCTTCAGTTGAGCTTTCCTAACATTCATTAGAAACCCAAATGCAATATCATGCTGGCAGTTTCTACCAGAGCAGTTTTGTGCCTGTCTTCATTTTCTTGTAACTTTATAAACTTTTAGCTCTTGGCTTTGAATTTTACAGGCATGATTTATGACATAATTTTATGGTTTTGGAAGTTAAAATAAAACAATTCAGCCTTAGAGAAAGGAAGACACTTTTTTTTTTTTTAAAGCTAGCATTGTATTTGGCAGAGAATTAGCAAAAATAGTACTTCATTAGTGCCGTTGTGAACCTTTGCTTTGCTTTGGCTAACTTGCACACCATTGAGAATTGCTCTTTCCATACGTGCTGGGACTTTGGTACTGTAGCCTTGGCATTGCTCCAAGTGCTAGCAGTGCTCTCCGTGCATCGTCTCTGTCCAGGGAGCCACAAACTACATTCTCTGGTTCCATAAAACAGAAAGGCCTGTTCTTAAGGAACATGTGGCTTGTTGAAATATGTCTCTTGTATTGTTTTTTTGCATCTGCATGTCTTTTTGGCCTTTCTACCACATAGGACATCAAGGAAGAATTCAGGTCAATTGATTAGATCCACCTTCGTCCACAGTCATTTAAATCCCTGCTTGTAACAGCCCCTATTTAATATAGCTGTAAATAGGTTGCTTGAAGCCTAACGTTGTAGGTAGGTGCGACATTGACCAAACTATTATATGACAAAACTGGGAACATGGGTACTGTGAGATAGGCTGAAAGAGTTTGACCAGGTTGTCTTGTGATGTATTTAGCCTGTCTTTGTAGACTTAAAGATTTTAGTGCAACGTACGTGGACCTGGTGCTGAATTGCTAGGTTGCACGTCACTTCTCAACACCCTTATCTTTCATTCTGTACTTTCTGGTTTATAATTGGTTTTCTATGAGGAAAAATGTCATTGTTCTAACCATTCTGTGCTGTCTTTTCCAGGGGAACAAAGAAATAGAGATATAGTGACTCAGCCAAAAATGTTCTGTTGTACAGGAAACAAGGTCCATTTACTATGTAAATCATTCAGTGTTTTGTTGCATTTTATGAGATGCAGTGAGTAGGGCAACAACTTTCCACAGTGACCCTTTAGCTCTTCTTTCATACGCGTATCAGCTGAGTTCAAGGCTTCTGTTTTGCTTGGAGACATGGGAAGATGAGTACTCTGATGATACCTAGCCAAACAGCTACAGACTGTAGAAGTGCTTTTCTTGCCCCACGTAGGATTGTGTATGTGTGATTGTAATCTTAAAAGAATTTATTGACTTTATATTCATATGACAGCATAGAAAGCCCTTGGTTTTCTGAGGTGACTTTTCTCAAATACGGTGTGACTGGTTATGGCAGCCCTTGATCTGACAGTCTAAAGAGAGAGAAGTCACAGCTATGGTAAATAGGAGGTTTTTATCTTTGTAGGTGAAATATTATAAGGAATAATTACAGATAAAATTGCAGAAGTGGTACCAATTTGTTGCAAGTAGCTGAAGAGCAGTTTAGTTAGTTGCATATTGAGGAGTATATGGGCTGTGTTCACACGGTAGTCAGATCAACTCAACTTTTTTGTCGTCTGTGAAGATCTACACAGTCCATCTCATTTGTAGATACGGGTGTTGGACCTTTTATTTTTCTTCCCTCACCTCCCTGACAGTGCGCAAACCAGCTTATCAGCTGAAATATTTCTCTGTTTCGCTGTGGAACAGGGACAGCCCGGCAGCCTAGCTGTAACGAAGCAGTGCTGCCGGGGGTAGGAGGCATCCAGCCACCACGAGAGCTGGGACAGGGAGACAGCCCTGACGGCCACCTGGCCGCAAGGTGCAGCAGACTGTCCAAACCATCCTGCGGTGGAGCAGCAAAATAGGGAGAAATCTCCTCTGCAAAAGCAGCTTTCCATATATTTTTACATGAGAGAGACTGCCCTTCAATTAGAAATGCAGGTTCTGACCCTATTTGCATGTTCTGGCGGGTTTTCCTTGTTTTAATGTGTTTCTGCATTTGTTATCTCCTCCTTTGCTTGATTCTTGTAAGAGCAGCTGGGTTAGGTGGTAGCAAGATTTGAAAGTTGTGGCAATTTTTTTTATCTACAGGGCAGTGCTCTTCTATTTTTAAAGCTTTGATATGTTAAGAGTGCTTGTGCGTCATCATAGTGTCCGTTTCCTTTCTTAAGGAATTCAAGGGTGATTATTTATAAATCCTTGTAGAACAAGTTATTGTTCTTTTTTAGCTTTCAAATTGGCTGTATTGAAGAGAGAATTATCACATGAGCAGACATCCTGACTAACTAGTGTTGTCTGTATTTTTTTTAACACTTGCTCATATATTGTACACTATTTTGAGTTACAGATTTTGCTAGTAAGATAACAAGGTTATCTTTGATTTGCTGATCTACTTCATTTGAAATTCAATATGTATTGTGGATTTAAACACTGACCCTACCTGTAAATAACAATAGCTATGACTCAGAGCTTGCAGTGATCTGAAAATGTTAATTGCTATGGAGGCTTGCTTTTTCATGTAGACAAAATCTGTTTCGGGTGGATGCTGTGTACAGAATGCAAGCTGTGAAAACATGAGTTACTGTGCTTAATTCTGTACTTATTTTTTAGGACAACAAAAATTGTGTATTTTCATGATGAGGATGATGGGGACAGGGATGACATTCTTCGTGCAGAAGGATTTGGAGTTTTGCCTTTGAAAAGGATTTTAGACTGTACAGTTTCAAGGAGAGGTGGGAGAGGCGTTATGATAAGAAAAATGGAGTATTGCAGGACATAGAGATGGTAAAGCAGAACAGTCAATTGTTTAAGAAATGGGAATTAGTGTACAACAGAAATGCAAGGAAATGCTGTGTTACACAATACACTGTTAATCTGTACAACACATTACAGTAAACTGTTGCCCAAATGAAGAGCTTAGTAGGATCTAAGAAAGGCAGAATGTTCATTCAAATGGACAAGATGCTGGTAAATAGTTAAGGGTGATTTTAAAAAAGCTCTTAAAAACCCATATTCCAGGAAACAAGTCTAATGGCTAAATACAGTGTTAGGTCAAATAATGCAGGCAGTTTTTTCTTCATTACAGCCTATAGGAACTCCTGCTTCAAGTCCTGTGTGCTCCTCTTCGGTCACTCTGTGTTAGAAAAATTACCAATTGGGGTTTGTTTTTAAACTCTGTATATGGATTTAATATGCAAAGCCATTGCAACCTGCTCATTAATTTTGTTCAGCGATAGCAATGTTAACCTTGTTTCTAGTCAGCTCTGCGCAGTGCCAGTGTGCTGTCACTGCATTTCCTCATGCTTGAAAACAAATGGTTTTGCTTTTGTAATTAAGGGAGACACTTTGGTTTTCTGTTTTGAATGCTCACTTGTTTTTAAAGCACATTTGAATGTTTTACATGAACTGACATGTAATCAGTCAATTTAAATGAAATCTGTTGATTTTCTTGAAGTGAAATAAATATAACCTCGAACTGTAGCTGTCAGCTGAAAAAATATCTAGCCTGCTTTAACCACGACTGGTTATCATTTGTACCAGTTTAAGGTTCTCCCCTTGAAGAGGCCAGTTCTATCCAATGCAAAGTTACTTGTGTCTTTTAAGTTACCTTGTCCTGATCATTGTCAAAACCAAAGTTGTTTACTAGATGGTTCATAAATAAAATCATCTATTTATTGTTTTCAAAGTTGTTGAAAAAGAATCCAGTCTTTCAGCAATTGAAGGGAAAGAAAAAGTCATTGTTTTGAATTTTCAACAGAATAAAAATTGTTTTTAAATTCTGCTTTGTATTGCTATTTTAAGAGGTTCTGAATTGTTACCAAAGCAATTTTGGTTTACATTTACTAAATTGACAGGCCGGCATCCTTAATTTTAAAGGATACCTAAAGTTATTTTAAAGTATAAAAAAAATTAGGTAACTGCTGACATGAGCATAAAATTATTCTTTATCTTAGATCCCAACTTTGTTCGGACTTTTCTCACAACATATAGATCCTTCTGTAAACCTCAAGAGTTGCTGAGTCTGCTAATAGAAAGGTATGCCACTGTTAAAAATGTTGTTCATACAAAGTGAAATTTTATTTTTTTTTTTTTTTTAATTTTTACTTGGAGTAGAGTTTGTAAGATTCTTGTTTTCCAGCTGGTTTTGATTCACTCCAAACACTTTTTAAAAAGTTGTCAGATTCAAGGATTGCGAATAAAAAATGCAAGTTATGTCCAGAAGCTTTAGGGTTGTTCAGGTAACTCCAGTAACTTCCAGCATCCCGCAGTTTTGTCTTTGAAATCTGTGTTATTACTGAATTTAGCAAATCTTCCTATGTGCTTACCAAGACGTAAGATTCTGACGTGTGGAAGCGTTCTGAATTTTGAGCTATCTTTAATCAACATTTTATTCATGCATGCTGTGAGTAAGATCAGTGTAATAGGAGCCTAGTGCTTATACCCATCTTCTGTGCTAGATTTGAAATTCCAGAGCCTGAGCCAACAGAAGCCGATCGTATTGCTATGGAGAATGGAGACCAGCCTCTTAGTGCAGAGTTAAAAAGATTTAGGAAAGAGTACATTCAGCCTGTGCAGCTACGGTGAGTATTGCATCCATGTGAGCCAAACTGACTTCCTTTAAGTCGTTTGAAGTACCATCTTTTGGATGCAGTGGCTCTTTGTGATACGAGCAGCCTTTCTTATACACGCTTTGATAGAGAGCGTGCGTGGGAAGTCAGCCATTTTGACCTTGCTACTGGAAAACCTGGTGGGAATTTGAATTTATGGCATGAAAAGCCTTGGGAAAGGCTTGTGCTGGGTTTTAGACTGCTAGTCTGCAAATTAGTTTCTTACACTCGCCATTGTTTTTCAATTCATGTTTCTGCAAGGCTATAGAGAACATTTTAGATAGTAGGTAGAGAACATTTTAGATAATGTTCTTTTTATGAACAATAGCATTACTCTGACTTCTTTGAATTTAAAGTAGAAAAATGCTTATAGCTGGTTACCGATGAAATGCAGGCAGTAGAATAATTGCATTTGGTCTACTGATTCTAATATTCCTGTGAGCCCTCACCTACTAAAAGCCTTGAAATGCTAGACATGAAGATAGACTGTATTGTAGAGTGCTTACTTATCCTTACACTTTTGCAGAGTATTAAATGTATGTCGACACTGGGTAGAACACCACTTCTACGACTTTGAAAGAGATGCTGATCTTCTCCAACGTTTGGAGGAATTCATTGGAACAGTAAGAGGTACTTATGGTTTCTTAAGTGCTGGCATTTATCATAAAGCATCCCTTTTCAAAGGTATTGAATGGGATCCCTTTTCCTTTCACTGAGCAGATAAAGAAAAACAGGACTGACTGCTTATTAAATGCTTCACAAAGAACATTAAATAGATCTTAATTTAAAAAAAAAAAACCAAAACACTATTATTCAAAGTTTGGCCCCTGTTCAGAAGAAAGAATGTTATTTACATCCTGCTACACAAGTATTGGTTTTGTTATAAAGGAACTGAAATAATGAAAAAAAATAATAAGAACTGATTAATGATCAAGACAGAATAATTGCTTTGATTGTCCTCTTAAACTATACACGGGTAATTTTGGCAAAAGTTTGATGGTGGAAACCACTATTTCTTTGAAACAAGGGTTTTCCAGCTATTTCACAGTACATATTAGACCTGTAGGATACCTTCCAGTTGTGACTGTACAGACCTTTCCTGTTCCCTTGTAAGAAAAACTGAGATAGTTATATGAGCAGTTTGTAGGAAAATATTATGTTAGAGAAGTATTTAATGGTTATTTAGCAATTGAAAAGAGGAGGAGAATGAGCCAGCTAGTTTAATGTGGATTACTGGTAAATTTTCAAAGGACTTGCCATCTCATGAATGAAATCCTTACAGTGTAGAGCTAAACAGGCATTTGGCCTTTGGGTTTTATTCTGAGTTTTGATGCTAAATGCAGTAGAGGGAGAGGCTTCTCCCTGTTTGTTATTGTGCCCTTCTGTGTTATCTGAGGTAAGCATGTACTCTTGCCCAAAGTATGAAGTTCAGGGTGTTTACAGAAGTGCATTTTGGGCATAATTTTTGGTTCCCATAAACTCATTGTAAAGTCAGAAAAGAAAGGAAGACACCTGATGTGGAGCAGGAGCCCAATTTGGGTGTTCTGAATTGCTTGAGCAAACTTGGTGTGCTCAGTATTGGCTGTTGAGGAATTCTTCTTTATATGTTCGAATGCTTTGAGACTTGTGTGAGAACACCACTTATGCACTTCTAAAGAATATATGGTTGCTTCAGTTTAGTAGATTTTGGGTTTAAATCCAAAGATTTCTAAATTATATTGACCTCTCTGGAAAAACAGTATTAAGAGTAACTAAATAGTAATTTTCTTTCTGTGTGCCAGGCAAAGCGATGAAGAAATGGGTTGAATCGATCACAAAGATAATCAACCGGAAAAAGCAGGCACAAGCCATTGGGCCAAGTCACAACATTACTTTTGAGAGCCCACCTCCGGCAATTGAATGGCACATAAGCAAACCAGGACACACAGAGACTTTTGACTTGCTCACTTTGCATCCAATAGAAATTGCTCGGCAGCTCACTTTACTTGAGTCAGATTTTTACAGGTAACTTTCCTCCATTGAAAAACACATGACACAAACCAAAATATTCTCCAGCATGAAATTGTTTCTGCGGGCCCCTGCTGTGAAGCCCCACGGTAGGTCAAGGGACTTTACCAATGCTGTATATTAATTGCTATTTTTTCAGAAAAAAATTCTAAAAACCAATATTTGCCTTATCCTCCCCAAGTTAATGTGCAGTACATGTGACTGATGCATACTGTTAATTGCATTGTGCTGCAGATTTCTCTTGATATTTTCTGAGTAGATCAACCTTTGACAAGTATGAACATTAATTAAATCAGTTTTCTTCATATCCTAGTTTGTGAAGCAAATTATGGACCATGTCAGATCTCACCAGCTGTCTGTGAGAGGTTGTTCAGACGTTGGAAGCTCACATTTTATTATGGTGAATGAGATGTAGGCTTCATTCTTCATTTAGATGAACAGAGGTGGTTAATAGTCAAATAAACTAAGAAATATTTACACACTGAAAAAGAAGCATAGAAATACCAGTCAGTCATGTGGGGAGCCTAATATTATAGAAGTGATACCTTAAGAATTTATTTCCAAATATTAATTCCAAATTCACTGGAAATAAAGAGGTTTTGGGAAAATAATATCTTCTTTCCTGCTTTTAATTACATTTTTTGCTACATGCATCTACTTTTCTAGAGCTGTGCAGCCATCTGAACTAGTTGGAAGTGTGTGGACAAAGGAAGATAAAGAAATTAATTCTCCCAACCTTCTCAAAATGATAAGGCATACAACTAACCTCACTTTGTGGTTTGAAAAGTAAGTGACTTTCCTGAATCTGCACCTAGTTCATTTCTGAACATTTACAGTCCATTCAGAAGTATACTGTGAAAAATTCTGTTCTGGGAGAATTCCAGTTTTAAGCCATGTTTAGATGCTACAGCTGGTCCCTGCAAGAATTTTACCATAATGCTCTCAGCTTTTTATTCTTAGAATATTTTCAAATGTTTATTCTCTAAACATTTTCAAAACTGTGTCAAATAGTTTGATAAGCTTTTCAGGTTTGTTTGTGTTACAACTTAATATTTGACTTTGGAAAACTCGTCAACACTTCAATACAAAATCAAATGTTCTTGTGTATTTAGATGCATTGTAGAAACAGAAAACCTAGAGGAAAGAGTAATTGTAGTGAGCCGGATAATTGAGATCCTGCAAGTTTTTCAAGAGCTAAACAACTTTAATGGTGTCCTTGAGATTGTCAGTGCTATGAACTCCGCAGCAGTGTATAGGTTGGATCACACGTTTGAGGTACAGTGAAATGTTTTCCGTTTTTGGTACAGAAGTGTAATGCAGTGCACCTTAGCTACACTAAATGCCTGTCTTTTCAGTAAGCATGTTCTTCAAAGAAGGAGCAAGGAAGGTAAATGCCCCAACAAATGAATCAATCAGGGTGTAATAGAGAGGGGTTATTTTCTTGGTTTCAGAAGCAAGAAATCAATCCTCACTTAAGAAAGGCAGAAAAAGGTAGCAGAATCCTGAGATGGTGGGACACTGTCCTCATCGTCACGGATTTAAATATCAGTGGGAGACCATTACTCTCAGTATTGTTGCTGGGCTACACCTTTACCCTGTCTTTCCAAACAACCTGTCTCATCTCTCTTTTTAGCAAATTCCAAGTCGCCAGAAGAAGATTTTAGAAGAAGCTTATGAGCTGAGTGAGGATCATTATAAGAAATACTTGGCAAAACTCAGGTCCATTAATCCTCCTTGTGTGCCTTTTTTTGGTAAGTACGTTTGATTTGAATGAGCTGTATCATGCATAAACATTTGAAAAGTATTGAGCTAGGGCACTAAACAGAGTACAAAAATAGTGAGAAGTCAGTTTTAACAGGACAGTTGGGTTTGAATTTCAGGTGCCCGGACACTAATTGCATATATGTGAAAGAAAAATTAAAGTTACTATTAAATGCAGATGTTATTTGCAGTAAAAATAAGTATATCTGCAATATCTTATTTACATATTTACTCATTTTTACTCTGAATGTAGTTTGAACTGTGTTGTGACCATAAATGCCTTAAATGGAAGGTGGTCACATTAGAAATATTATTGCCATTGACTAGTAGAGAAAGAAGGAACCCCTTCCCCATCAAGAATTCAAAGAAATAAAGCTAGAGTTTTAATTTTTATAGTTTCTTGTAACTATAGTCTTGTTTCTATTAAAAAGACTTATTTCTGTAAAAACAGAGTTTGGGAAGAAAGCCTCTTTATCATCAGACTTAACAGTTCTTTCACGTAGATTGCTTGGAATTTCTGATGTTTAGCAAATTATGAAGTTAAGCATGTGGTATTCCTGTTCTTTAGCAAGCTACTTGGATGTTTGCTGCAGATCAGTTCCAACTCTGGATATTACACTTGTCCAGCATAGGCTTCAGGCCAAAACTGAAAGAAAATAGTGTTGATGGCTTTTTTGGCCTTTTACAGATTGGGGAAAGATATACTCCAGAGCTCTGCAAAGAAAGATAAGATCAACTAAGAAACCTTCTGTCCTGCTTCAGAGATGAGTAGAGGTTAGCAGGATCACACGTGAATAGCTTCAGTTATTTCTTTCAAGTTATACTTAGAAGAGTCATAATGACAGTTCCAGATATATTATCTGTGGATTTGAAAGCACTCTTTTCTTTCTAATCTTCAAATGATTTGATGCAATTATGAAGCCAGGAGTGGAAAGTGGAACAGAAAAATAAAACCTGAAAATAATTTTTTGGAGCTTAGCTGGGGTCTCTAATGGAGTAGAGCTGAATTGAGACAGAAGAGTTGAGAGAAAGCACTTGAATTCAGTGTAGTCTTGTCTTACAAAATGCTAGTAGTGTTCAGTTGTGTGAGCTTCCTAAACAATAGAAAGATGTATAGACTTTGAGATTTTGATGCAAAAAAGGTAGCTTTCTGGAAAAGGTATATTAAAATATTTAAATTGTTGCCCTTATTTGAAAATGAGGTGCGATTCTCTTACCCTAACAGAGAATTTTTCTAAATAATTAGAATACACAAATTAAATTCTTTAAGAATTCTTTGTATTCCAGTCATGTGACTTTCTCCTTGTTTTGTACTATGTGTTGAGAACCTCTTCTGTGTGCTCTTTAGGGATTTACCTAACTAACATTTTGAAAACAGAAGAAGGCAACCCTGAATTTCTAAAGCGACATGGGAAAGAACTTATAAACTTCAGCAAGAGAAGAAAGGTAGCTGAAATAACAGGAGAGATACAGCAGTACCAGAACCAGCCATATTGTTTAAGAGTGGAATTTGACATCAGGGTAAGTGGCATTATTTCCGTGAGTCCTTGCACCGAGCTACTTTATCAGCTGACAGAGTCACCACAAGACCATAAGGATAGACTGAACTCACATAGATTCAATCAGACTGAATCACACACGAGCAGAAGGCCTCTATCAGGTCTCACTGTAAGAAGGGGCAGAAGCTCAATGCTTGCAGTTTGGGTTTTGTGGGTTTTTTCCCAGCTATTGGGATGCTGGTAGATAGATCTTCTTACTGATTAGTGTTAAACAGGAACAGAAACTACCAGATTCTCACTGTCATTCACCCAGTTGCGTTTATTTGTCCAGTGAGTCCACTTGTCTTTTTCCTCCTCTGTTACACTGCCTTTATGTTTCCAGGTTTACCTGACGGCACTGTGTTTACATCACGTTTTGGTGATGATGCTCACATTTTTCTTTCTCCTGGCATTTGTTCTCCTTGATCTGTGGTGTTGTCCAAGCAGTCCTCTCTCTGTTTGCTTTCCTTTCTTCCTTTTCTTTTGTTTTTTGTTTAAATATCTTTTGAGCTATATACTTTCAGAGAGTCATAGGACAGGTTATCTTATGGGATTCTGCAAGATTTTCTTTTGTTATTTGTTCTCCTCAGTGTTTGACAGAATGCATTGTGAGAGCAGTCTTCCCCTGCATCAGTGTAAAGATGGACTACACATACAGCTTCTTCTGGCAGTGTTTGAGCTAACCTGGTCTGATTTTTGCACTGCAGAAAGTGTATAGGGTACTTGCACAGCTGGTTTTCAGGCCAAGCATAGCAGTAGCAATGCCCAGCAAAAGGCTGGCAACAGACAAATTTAATAACTTCAAAATCTATCATTACTTCTGACTCCAGCATTTTCTCTCTTCTCTGGAACAGTTGGGATCACTTGTGCAGTAGAAACAAACAGCACTAAGCTACTAAGAAGTAGCTTAGCTGACAAGTTTTCTACCTTCTTGTATTTCAGAGATTTTTTGAAAACCTGAATCCAATGGGAAACAGCATGGAGACAGAATTTACAGATTATCTGTTCAACAAGTCACTAGAGATAGAGCCACGAAACGTCAAGCCTCCACCAAGATTTGTTAGTATTCAATTTATTTTTATTTTTTTTTTTTCAAAAAAAATGCTTACATTTGTCTTTCACAGATAGCAGAAGTCATTTTAGATCTCTAACTTCATAAATACAAAGCTGCATTTAGGTGATCTTGTGGCCTTTTGATTTTGTTTGATATTATCTTTTTTGTCATTTCAGCCCAAAAAATACAGCTATCCTCTCAAGTCCCCAGGTGTTCGTCCCTCTAATCCAAGGCCAGGTACCATGAGACATCCTACACCCCTGCAACAGGAGCCAAGGAAAATTAGTTACAGCCGCATCCCAGAGAGCGAGACTGAAACTACAGCATCTGCACCAAACTCTCCCCGAACACCTTTGACCCCTCCCCCTGCTTCTGCTACTTCAAGTACTACAGATGCCTGCAGTGTGTTTGACTCGGATCCTTCAAGTCCTTTTCACGCAAGTAGGTGCTAATAGACAGTCTGCCAAGAATGTGCGTATTAGATTTTGTGGCGTTAAACAGGTGAAATCATATTTAGTCTTCTAAAGTAACTATAGAAATAGTTGCTTTTGTCTCCTTGTGGCAGCAAAAACTTTCAGTGTGTTTTATTCCTTTTTTTAATAAGTTTGTATTGTAAAGGGAGAAACTGAACAGAATTAGGTGTGTTACATAGAGGGTATTACATGTCTGTGGAGAAACTGTCAAAACAGAAGGCAGAGATATATCTCTAGTGCCCATATATGTCCCAAACAAACATTTGTGGGATTTGCTGCCATAGATAGATGTGGTGAATGTATTTGATACAATTCGGAGTATCTGTTTGATGGTGAACAATGAGAATAAAAATGAATGTTTTGTGGGTGCCTTATTCTGCTGTCTGCCATTCCGACTTGGTTTCAGTGCACAGGGATGGTTTTCCTGCAGAACTTAAAATCAGTACTTCCCTGCTTTAAATCCATCAGGACCCATCCACACCTATTTTTCTTCTGTCTTCACCAACATACAAGGAAGCTCATATTTTATGGTGTGCTTTCAGTAATTTATAGTGGACATAGCCTCCTTTCATGTATGAGGGCTTTCAGAGGAAGTACAAGGTTGGTCCTGTGTTCAGCTGGTTGCCAAAAGGAGGTGAAATGACTTGCTAAAAGCAGAAGTTGCTTAACAGAGCGGTGACATTGCTGAGTGTCCAAGCCAGGTCTCTGGAATACCTCTTCAGAAGAAGGTATTTCTTCATTGCTGGCTTGGCCCATCGACTGCAGGATATTGGTTTAGTGCTGTTGTGATACAAGAACAACTTTGTGGTGTAGTTTTGGTCTTGAGGATTACTTAAGAATGTGCAGGAACTGAAGGCCACAGAGGTGACTGCAGCTCAGAAAAGCAGTTTGTCTGGAAGCTGCAAGTTAGAGAGTTGTTTCATTGTTTTTCTTTAACACCTTCTTGATTCATGCTGCTTTCTGTGGGCAATTACTCTATTATTTATGACACCTTTATTGGCAGCAATAAAGGAAATATACTGAGTTGAATAAAAGTTCATCATTATCAGGATTTTTTTTATGTCCACTAGGATCTGCTTCTGTCTCATCCATAAACTTTACCAAAAATTCAGATGAAGCTCATGTCCCCCCTCCAGTTCCTCCACGAAGACGACCAGAGTCCGCCCCAGCTGAATCCTCTCCATCAAAAGTAAGTAAGGAGAAAAAAGGGCATTTTTTCTGGGAGCAGAGGGCAGGGTATGATAGAAGAGTAACTCTTAAAGATAGTACATGTATTTTTGAAGAACTGCATGTGAAAGAGTAAGCAGCCGTGTATTTCAGGCCTTCACAGCTCTGCCTCCTTATGTCCTGATCCCAAAAGAAAGAAAATTAACAGATGGGACCTAAATTTAGGGTTAGAAATGTCTCTTGTTCACTGATCCACTATGCTCAGGCCATCACATTGCCTGTGAGAACTTGAGACTTCAGGCAGATGTTTCCATCTGTGATAATTGTCCCAGAGCATCATTTTGGGGTGTAAGAGTCGGGGTAAAGAATTGAAGAATAGTAATGATGGAAAGTGATGTACAGACCTCAGTCCTCTGAAAACATTCATTAGAATATTTGACCCTGATGCTGTGGTGGCCAGTGCGTTATTTCCCTTCTTGATTACCTGTCCTGTCTGCCTGCCTGCTTGAGCCATTGCTACATTTTCCTTTTGCATTTGTCTGGCATTTGGGATCTGATCCAGCCTTTGTTGCAGACAGTCTCTTGATTTCAGTGGAAGCTGGTTTGTGACTTCAGAGAATTGGGTGGATTTGAAAATCCCACTCAAAATTACTTCGGAGCATGTCTGTCTTTGAAGAGGGCTTGTATATGGCTCTTCAGCAAGTTGTTTTCAGACTACAGGCGACTATGCTGTCAGCCAGCAGAGTTTAACACATTACATTCCTACCAAAATGTAATTGAAAACATCACATACGTGATAGGGTGTTGGAGACCAATTACCCTGTCACTGTGGTCTGCAGCTTGGCAACTCTTCGCTTCGATAATTTTGACTACTTAACTCCATCTTCTGAGCATAGTTTATTTTTTTTCCCTGTTCCGCATCATCCGCCTCTCCCTTTTCCTCATTTTCTTGGAGAAATATTGGGTGTTATTACCCACCCCAGGTGCTTGTTACTGGGGAGGTGGTGGAAGATACCCACACGTACCTAGCAAGCAGACCTGGAACTAGCATGGAAATTGTTGTTTTGACCATTCTTTGCCTTGCTTTTGTCCCTCTCTTTGCATCTTCAGTCCTTCCATCCTTGGCTGTTAACTCATGTATTGATATACCCCTGCTCTCCCCCCGCACATCCAGGCTCTGTCTTTTCTGTCCACATCACTCTCAGAAACATGTTTTTCAGGCACCACCACTCCCTTTTGCTTCCTTACTTCCCATCTTCATTCTGCACCTGCTTGCCGTGCCTCCTCTTTAACTGGATAAGAGCAATCTGCAGGGCGGGAGCTCTGCTTCCATTTCACAGTAGGGTCCTGTTCTTTACTGCCACTCTGAAATTGTATTGAATGAAATGTTTGTGTACCTCAGATTACTTCTGCGCACCTGGACAGCCCACCAGCAATCCCTCCTAGGCAACCAACCTCTAAAGTGTATTCACCAAGGTACTCAGTGCCTGACCGGACCTGCATCTCTGACCCCCCTGAAAGCCCTCCTGTGTTACCACCACGAGAACCTGTGCGAACTCCAGATGTTTTCTCTAGCTCACCACTACACCTCCAACCTCCGCCATTGGGGAGAAAAAGCGAACTTGGTAACACCTTTTTCCCAAGCAGTCCGTCTCCGTTTACTCCCCCTCCCCCTCAGACACCTTCTCCACATGTAGCACGGAGGCATCTTCCATCACCACCTTTGATACCGCAAGATGTGGACCTCCATTGTGTTGCTGGACCGCCTGTTCCTCCACGACAAAGCACTTCTCAACATATCCCAAAGCTTCCTCCAAAAACTTACAAAAGGGAGCACACACACCCATCGATGCATCGAGACGGACCACCATTGCTGGAGAATGCCCACTCCTCCTGAACTGTCCCTTGCGCTGGGAGTCGCATTTTCCTGGTGCTACGTCTGTTGCTGGCAATGGATGCACTGAACCTGGTGGTGCCAAGGAGTTGGGATGTGTATGCCAAACACTAAAAACTCTCCAATAGATTTGAAATGCAGTGTACAGAAATGGAATTGCAAAAACAGACATTCTAGTGGAAAAACCGGTTAACTTGCTATTCTTGTTTTAGTATGCAGGACATTGTTCTAAAGTAATTGGACAACTGATTGTACCAGAAAACAGACTTGAGAGACTTCTTTGGCCAATGAGCAGAGACTGTGTTTGTGTAATGATCAATAATGTCCAGTACAGGAAGAAAAACAGTCTTGTATCCATCAGTTCCATACAGTGGCACAGTTTTTGGAATGAAAACATTATGCACTTTTTTTAAATCTCAAACAGGGAACTTTATATCCTTCTTAATTTTCCTTTGCTTTACTCCCTGCTTTAAAATACCTTCCTAAAATTATGAGAAGGACTGTGAGGAAGATCTGTGGTACCTAACCGAGCTAGAATTAAGGCAAAGCACTGTATTGCGGTCCTGTTTACAAGTTGTTACAATGAGTAGTAGGGGGTACCTAGGCTTCACCAAAGAGGTACTTTATTATTATTTTCTGAAATATTATGGTGCCAGTTCAAAAATAAATTTTTGCCAGGAAGCATAATGTCTAATTATTGCTTTCTTTAGATAGAGCAGATGAAAGTCTTACATCATTAAGATGACAGTGAATTTTTTTTTAAAAAGCAGCACTATCATCCGAAGTAAATATACTACTGCATTTAGAAGACTGTTAATCTCTGCTAGGTTATGTCACGCTCTTTTTAAGGTTTACCGATAATCCATTTCATGGCTAGTAGCTATTCTTTTTCAGTCATGCCATGAAAACAGTCACTTGTGAAAAGGAGCACTCACTGGTCAACTTCCATAGCTATTGTCATGTTTTACTAACAATAGATTAATCAGCATACATAGAATTGCCTTGCAGTTGCATAAATCATGTGTATATAGTGAACGTTGCATAAATATACTTGCAGATTGTTTTTAATTTAATTGAAATAAAGATACAAATATGTTTGGCTGACATACGTTAAATTATTACATGGACAAATGTACAACTCAGTTTTTCAGTTAAGCACTGAAGGGGATAAAAACACATGTTGTGGTACATATTTTTCCTAGTTCAGTGTATGTATTTTAGTAATAAGAGTCTAAAGAGAAGTCAGTTTTGGCATGTTTTACAAAGTAATAATTTAGTAATATTTGGGAAGCTAGGTTACTCCCAAAGTGAATTATTATAAATTATAAAACTTCTCACACCTCCTATATGACACTTGTTAGAAAAACTCAAACTTACATTAATCTTTACAGTAGCTTTCCATGTCCAAAATACACATGACGGAACATGTACTGATGTAAGTATCATGACATGGATTATCCATAAACCTGTGTACTGCTCTTCAACTCTAGACAATACTGTGACAGTAATGCATGGCCATTATTGAAGAAAAGAAGCTCTATAATCTCCACTACAGTATGTATGTGAAGCGTGAAGCATGAAGTATCTCATCTTCAGTTAATATGGCTCATGGGTCAAAGTAAAATTCTATCACATTTCCTCTTTGGAAGAAGAATACATTTCAGCGTCTTGGAAAGCTATGTCATGAGAGATGGTGTTAGTCGAATTATGATGGAAATCACCTTTTTTTAATGCTTTCTGCAATGCCATTGGTCAGTGCCCCTTGATCCTTTAGTGTGGTCATTACATTTTAGAAAGTGTTCTGATTTCATCAACAAGAATGGCAGTTTTCATCATAGTCAAATGTTGAAATTTGTCAGTTGTATTCCCTCTTTGATGTCTTTAACAACATTGTTTTGAAACGTTTTCCTGGTGAAAGAAGAAAAAGTGAAGATCTCTAAACCTTGGCTTCAGAGGAGAACATTATATGGGAGCTTTGTAAAAACCCTCAAGCTATAGGGGGCATGGTTTAGGTTATTGGTTCTTTGGATAGAAACACCATGATGGGCATACCGTTGGCAATGTCATCTAAATTATTAGCTCATCAGTGGATTATCAGGGAAAACTCCTTAAATTTAGACTTTCTGATCTGTATTTCTTCTTCTGTACGCTCTCGTCTGTGGTGTTTTGCAGCGAAGGCAGACCAGGCAGAAGGAGTGATCCAGTGGTTAGGTTGCCCAGCTAGGAGGAGAGACCTCACATGGATCCTGCTAATCAACAGATTTCTTGAATATCAGTAGGTCTCTGTTTCCGTTTTTGAAATGGGGAATGCTGTTTTGCATCTTTGTGGTTGAGGATAAAAGTCCTTTACTGGTGAGGTACTCGGACAATGGGTGATAATGATCACCATGTAAGAACCTAACTTAAATGTGCTTTGGAGCCCGGCAGAATGGGTCAGTCATACAGTGCACAAATCATGGTGTTGACTCAGCTGCAAACAGAAAAGGTAGGGTGAGAATCAAACCTGTTGAATTTAGAACAGGAGTTTTGAGTACAACTGCTAAGCCACTGGTTTGTCTAATGACAGCTTTATTTGCGTTAATAATTAATGTGGAATGACTTCTTATTTGGACCATGTTTGCATTAGTGACAATAGTTTTCACATAGAAAATGAAATCATTTTAATGATGCTATCTGACTCCTTGACAAAATGACCATGGATGGTCTGGTGTGGCCTGGACAATGAAACATACTTGTGTGGAGGCTAGGTTTGTTGCTGTATTACTCTAGAGAGTTGCTGTATTACTCTAAAGGGCTGATGTATGGCTAAAAGTCAGCCTAAATAACTGCAAACTGTGTAGGCAGGGGTATAGAGGTCAGCAGAACCTTACAGGTGCGGTACTTAACAATTTGTGCTGTTTTACCTCAAGGTTTCCACTTGATATATAGTCTAGTGCAACAGTGGAGCATAACCTGGGTTTGGTCATTTTCTTCATAGTTTTGTGTTAGCTCAGAAAAACCCTCTGGGAATTTGGAAGTGCTAGGATTCCAAGTGCAAGGTCCTGCACCTGGATCGGGACAACCCCTGGTATCAATAGAGCCTGAGGGATGAAGGGATTGAGCGCAGCCCTGCAGAGAAGGACTTGGGGGTACTGGTGGATGAAAAACTGCACATGAGCTGGCAATGTGCGCTCACAGCCCAGAAAGCCAACCGTATCCTGGGCTGCATCAAAAGCAGCGTGGCCAGCAGGTCGAGGGAGGTGATTCTGCCCCTCTACTCCGCTCTGGTGAGACCCCACCTGGAGTACTGCGTCCAGCTCTGGGGTCCTCAGCACAGGAAAGACATAGACTTGTTGGAGCGGGTCCAGAGGAGGGCTACAAAAATGATCAGAGGGATGGAACACCTCTGCTATGAGGAAAGGCTGAGAGAGTTGGGGTTGTTTAGCATGGAGAAGAAAAGGGTCCGGGAGACTTTATAGCAGCCTTTCAATCCTTAAAGGGGGCTTATAAGAAAGATGGGGACGGACTCTTTAGTAGGGCTTGTTGCAATAGGGCGAGGGGTAGTGGTTTTAAACTGAAAGAGGGTAGGTTTAGACTAGATATAAGGAAGAAATTTTTCACAGTGAGGGTGGTAAAAGACTGGCACAGGTTGCCCAGAGAGGTGGCAGATGCCCCTTTCCCTGGAAACATTCAAGGTCAGGCTGGATGGGGCTCTGAGCAAACTGATCTAGCTGAAGATGTCCCTGCTCATTGCAGGGGGGTTGGAGTAGATGACCTTTAAAGGTCCCTTCCAAGCCAAACTATCCTATGATCCTGTGATTTTGCAAGTGCCGTGCACTTACTTCTGTTGAGCATGCTGTATGGAAAGTCAGCTGTCATGCTGCCTGGTCACCCCAAGGTACATGCTGTTGCCATGACATTCAGCAGCCCAGGCCAAGTTTTTCTATAGTTGTCTGCTAACAGAGAACATTATCCTACTTCAGGATCGATACCATGGAAGCATTTCAGTGCTCCATCCTCAAGAAGCCGTCTCCAGTGTGGGCTAATCTGTTTCTCTAATACGACCCTCTCTTAAATCAGGAAGGGAGAGGTCTGTCTCAGTAAGAGTATGTTTATGCTAATGCACTGAAATTAGATCTTTCAAGATTTAGATTGACGTTGTGGGATATTTAATTCTTTTTCTTTTGCATGCATCTTAAATTAGACTTTCTGTTGAATTGGGTCTGATGCAAGTTTGTTGATGTCACTGGAGGTACCACTATTGAAGGCAGTAGATTATTGTGCTTCAGGGAGAAGATTTTATTTTGTTACATACAAGGAAGTTTCTTTTCAGCCTGAAGAGGTGCTGGAACAAATTTGCATTGCAGCAGGCTGTCTGGCAATGGCAGCGCATTATAATAAGCATCAGTTCCCTTCTTTGTGGCTGTTGTCTCAACCTCGTGTGGCATTTTACAGAGGCAGCCTCTACTACTGGTATTTCTAGCATTGCTGCAATTTAAGCTCAAGTAGAAAGAGCCCCTCACTCATGAATGTTTGTCTTACAAATTATGTGAAAGTTAAACAAAATGTTTCTTAATGCTTTGCTGCTGTGAGCAGAGCAATTAGCTGCAGTATGTAAAAGTCCCTCCTTGATTTTCTCCTTGCTGCCTTTTCCAGCCAGCAAGGAGGAACTTGTTCAAAAAGACTGTTCTAAGATGATAGTAAAAAGTTTTCAAATTCTTATATTGTGGCCCAATATAGTTGTAAAAACAAAAGTGCTTTTAAGTTACTTTGTAAATTCCATGCCTTATTTTCCATTAAAAAAAAAACCACCCTTAAGTGCATTTTTCTGTCAACTGTGCACAAATTTCCCTTTTGCCTTCAGTGGAAAATAGTGCATTAAATAGCCAACTACTGCAGCATTATAAGGCAAACAAAGTAAAGAGTAAGTAACTTTTTTTTTTTACTTTCTAACCAGCAAATGTGAAATCTTGTACTGGGTGGCTGAAAAGTTGAAAGGGAAAAATAAAATAAAAAACCATATGCCAGATGCATGACAATTTTAGTAGCTGCCAAACGTGCCTTTTATTAAAGAATATCTGTAATATTTTTGAAAACAAGGGTAGACGAAGGTAGATGATCAGGGGTGCGTGTTGCTGGAATTACTTTGGACAAATTTGTTCGAATCTACTTCAGAATAAGCCTTTTTTTGTTTGTGAAAAGAACAAATTTTAGGTTCCAATAAGTTTGTTCCAGTATGCGTGTACATTTGCCTTTGTTTGATGGCATGGTTGATTGCCAAAATGAGTAAATGTTAAAAGCTATGTCAGTCCAGTTGTGAAAAGGAAAAAAAAAAAAACCCAAAAAACAAACCAACAAAAACCAAAACACAGAGAAAGAGAAGCGGTAAACTTTAGCTGGCACATCTGATGACCTGTGTGCGTAACTGTCTGTAGGTGATCTTTGTATGCTGTGTCTGCAGTGGTATTCAGATTGCGTTTGAGTGAAAATTTACTAGTGGCTGTTACCTTTTGGCATTAAAAGACATGTTCTAAAAATAAAAAAAAAAAAAAAAGCCTTACGTATCCCAGAAGTGTACGATTTTGAATATGTAAAATATGCTGAAAGTCCTTGTAGTCTGAGACTGGCTTCCTTAAGCTTAAATACTGTGTGCTTTACATTAAGGAGAATCATGAGTCTGCTACAGATGTAGGTTTTGCTCAGGATAGTAAAATATTAAAAGATGCAGTAGCTTGTGAGCAGAAGAACTGTATAGAGTAGAAGACAAGTAAGCAAGGTGTATGTACAGTAGGGGACACAAAATAGTGTCTTTTAACTGTGATGTTCTCTGCCCCAGGATTATTCATTGTAGGTGTTACTCCAGCTCTGCGGCTTGCTGTGACAACTTACTGCACCTATGGATAGACTGATCTGCAGTCTATGGGTAAATACTGTCTCTTGAATTTTTACTGTATCAATTTTTTCAGTAGGTTATTTCATATAAAAGCCTGCATCTCATCTGCTTGTTGAATCAGGTCACAGTAAATAAAGGGACATTACGTTTAGTATCTTGTATCTGGCAATAGGCAAAACGTCTGCTTTCAAAGAACAGAGTGAATAAATGAAAACCACTCACAAGTAGAAACTGCTTAATATTCACAGTAGCCTCCCCTGTCTAATCCACCCCACAAAACCAGTGGCCAAAGACAGTACTATGCATGCCCCGGCTCCTCTCCTGTTTAGGCATGAGCAAGGGGCCCTAACAACTTTGAGTTTGGAAAAAGCAACTGTATTCCTTGGAACCTCTTGAAGTGTTTTTTGCCCTTACTGAGGAATATTTGTACTTGTACATGTACATGACTTGTACTGAGGTGAAAATACCCTGAGAACTTGTAGAGGAAGCCAGGATACATTGCAGCTCTGGGGAAAAAAAGTAGGAGAAAGTGCCTAAGTTATGTAAAACTTAGAAGTAGCCTCAGTTATGCTGCTTAGAGTAATGAAGTGGTGAGAGGATACATTTGAGCAGCACTGAAAGCCAGTTACCCGTAATCTGAGGAGAGTCTAGGGTGGCTGGCTTAAGCAGGGAGCGTAGCCATGGAGAGGTGATCTGGAAGAGTCACAGCCGCGATGACAGCCTGTCCTGCTGGGGGCTGGCAGCTCCCCAGCAGCTAGCTGCTAGGCATGTTCTGCATCCCTGTGATTGAAAGGGATTTGAGGAGGAAACACCCCAGTAGATTTGCACAGGAGTAAAACTGCATTTGGGCTGTTGATTCAAAACGCTGCTGGCGTACTCTAATCTCTGAGCCTGCTGTCCTCAAGTGACACAACGCTGCAGGGAGCTACAGACCAGTAGTACCTGCTACACACGCTTGCAGGTGCCACGTGGCGTGGGCGGTGTGAGCACCGCGGGCTGAGTTGTCCCCGTTTGTGGTGTCATTGTTTTGGACCTGCTGAGAATGTGGCATAGGTAAGATAGTGTTGGTAGTCAGAACGGGAATTAAGTTTTTTAAAAAACTTGGTATGTGACAGATGTTGGTGATGTACAGGAAGATATTAAGATCTCTTACAGAGTTGGATAGTTGAAATTACAGTGGTGTGTACGTCAGCGGAGGAGGCTCATGGGATTCTTTTGTGAAGGCTCATGTGTCTGTAACAGAAGCAGCAGGAGTAAAGGAGGTGGAGGAAGGAGCTGAAGAAATGTCACGGTGAGCTGCACCAACGACAGGGTCTTGACCAAAAGCTTAGAGAGTGAGTCAGCTGAGTGCTGGGTAAGAGTCTTGGAACCAGGTGTGTGGAAACACTCTTCTCACATGACCGTGTGGGCAGGGGAAGAGGATTTTGTAAGCAATGTTGCCTCAGAAAGGAACCTGAGAAACACGTGTTTCTTCTTTTAATGGATGCAACCTTATGGCTGATTGAGTGCAAAAGAGACCACAGCATTATTTAAAAGCAACATTTATTTGGCACAGGAAGAAAAATAATCTAGAGCACACATGTACGCTAAGGTGAAGTTGGATCGGATCCTGCAAGAGGTTGTGTGTTTCTGTGTGGTGCTGAGCATCATTCATTTTATTTACATTTGCAGATTCTGAGCAGGTACAAGGACATCTCAAATGATAAGTATAGGCCTGGAAGTAAGAACTTATACAGGATCAGAAAGAAATAGCCATCAATTCTGACCATGCCTTAAATCACTAAAACAGAAGCTAAAATCCATGCGCATTTTACAAGCAAGGGTCTGCCACTTTGGAAGGATTTCCTCACCCAGGAGGTGTTAGCAGGCAGGTTTTCCCCTTTGTCCTGTTTCTGTCCTGGCATCTGCCTGGCAAGTGTGAAGAGCAAGTTTGTTCTATGAAAGATAGAAGTGTCATTATATATGAGACCAAAGACTCAAGTATCAGAGCCCTTGACAACATCAGTGCATTACAGTGGAGACTCGTCCATATTGATATAACTCTGGTTCCGTGGATAAACAAATAGGTCTGTCTGTGGCTGATTCTCTTGCAGAACAAGCAGGCTTTGCTGATGCTTCAGTTACAAGTATCTGGCTCTTCTTACATCTTTCTTTCCTAGCCCTGCACTGTCTGACTGAAAGCTGCGAAGTCCTAGGAAGTGTCTGGGTGATGCAGTGGCTGGTCAGCGTGGAGCAGTCCTGACTGGGAAGGACCAGGGAGATTGTAATTTAATGAGGATGTGAGGGAGAGGGAAAGACATGGAAGGGTTTTTGTCATTAAAAACCTTAAATATAAAAAAAAAAATCTTCCCAGAATCGTTTCCAAAAGCTGGGGGCTTTTTTCCTCTTGTAAGGAGGAGAGGTGGATTTTTGGGAACTATTTTGGGTCCAGTAAAATCTAGGGGGCAGGCATCAGCTAAAACATTTTAATCACTTTCTTGAAATGTTGGGAAAACTTTGATTGAGATAAAGGACGGATTTTGTCTGTCTTAAGTAGATAACCCTTTTCACACACACCCCTTCTCAGGTGTGTCTCAGAGGAAAAGCAGATGGTAGATGCAGGTCAGTCGACACTATGGGAGAGCTGTAGGCCCTGCGTCGGCAGTGGGTGTTAGCCACCGCAGCCAAGGACGCCTGCTCTGGGCCCTCCCCGTACCATTGTCGCTGCCAGGAGAGCCATGCAGCAGGATGGGTGCTCTTCTCTTGGCACCAGATTCAGTCACCCTTGTGCTGGTGTTGGAGTCCCAAGCGCCTAATCTCACAGCCTTGCATAGTTCCCCCGAGACGTTGCTGTTGGCCCCATGGAGACAGTTCACAACCTCTTCAGGTGAAGCTATTCTTTATGACAGACCAGTGTCCCAACCCTGCCAAAATAAGGTGATAAAACGGCATTTCCTCTTGAAACTGCCCTCAGCATACCCTAAGTTCAGCTAACACCACAGCCCTGTACCAACGGTGCTCTTGCTGCTGGGGTGTGACACGGATATCGCACCAGAGGGCTGTGTTTCTCTCCATACTTTTTTTTTTTAACAAAAGCCATAGTCTTCTGCAGAGAACAGCATTACTGAGGGTTTGTCGTGTCGAGATGCGAGGAGGGTGGCATGTGTGTGGCCTTGTTGTGGGAGGAAGTGCATCCTTGCACAAGAAGGAGGGCTTGTGACTTTGAGCATGGGGCACCATCGACTTTCCTGCCCTCGTGCCTCAATTTTAGCTAGAACTGCTCCAAAGCAGGGTGCTGCAGATGATGGGGCTTGTAAGGTGGTGTCAGGCCAAAGAGAGTTAGCAAAGAGTATTTCAGGTGTATTACAGACCAGGAGCCAGGACACTGGCTGGCTGTGTCAGTGTCTGCATCGATCCACGCTGGGGGTAAGGTGGAGAAGAGTCTTTGTCTCTTGTGGCAGGCCCTGGGCGCAATTCAAGAAACAGCACGCCGCATAAAAGGAGAAGGAGGATTTTGGGGAGTGATGGAAGACCAAAAGAAAGGATGCTGCTGATTAAGCAGTACGAAGCCCAGGTGCTTCAGCTGATGCTTATTAGACCTTCTCAAACCAGCAGGGTAATGCAAGCTGGCCTCCTGGAAGACATCTTTGATGATGGTTTTTCTTTGGAAAGTGGAGGAGAGAGGGGAATTTCAGACTTCTGTCCAGGATGCCAAGGCTGCAAAGGTAACCCCTCTGTTGTGGGTGAGCTCGAATTAGACCTGGCTTGAATTTGGAAGAGCGAAGATGTATGGCAAATCAAGCAGTGTTGGGGGATGAGGGGGAGGAGAAGATACTGGGATTTGGCCAAAGCTTTCCAAAACTCCAAGGAAAGTTAAGTCAGGCAGGGGTGAAAGCTAGCAAGTTCCTGTGCTTATTGGACCTGCTGGCTGAGCTCCACTTCAACCCATAGCCTGGCCCTGCCCTGTGCTAGGAAGAGCAGGATGCATTTGTAAGGCAGTTGTGACAGTCTCCTCTCCCCCACCCCTCCGCCTACTGTGTTAGTCAGGGGGGATCTTGGGGCCTTGCTGTCTGTCTCCACCCTCAGGGACCTGGGGAAGCACTGTTGCGCTTAGGCTGTGGCCTGCCTTTCTTGGGGCTGCTTATTTCTTTTTGAAGAGCTTGCGGAAGGAGCTCCGGAAACCCCCCTTGGGCTCGTGCCGCGGGTTGTGGTCGCTGAAGGATGTTTGCTCATTGTCATCCTTCTGGCAGAACCTGGTGTTGTCTTCTGCATGGAGCTCCTAAAAGGGAAAAGACAATTTAACCAGCATTTGCAACCTCACATCCTTGTCCCCTTCTCTTTCTCTCTCTGTGCTAGGAGGGACCTGGTGGGTGAGAAGGTGCTGGCAAGGCTGGGAGACAACAGGTCGCTCAGGCCTTGGCAGCACTGGTGCCTCTGCGGAGAGCTTGTTGCTGGCTCTGAGGCTGAGGCAGTGGCAGAGGAGTGGAAGGATAAGCATTTTTAGAGGGAACTGGAGCCTTCTTGGCTAAGCTTTTTATTTAGGGTGAGCTTACTAGCTGCTTTTGCCAATGAGGGAGCAAGCCAGCATGGGGAGCTGAAGGAACTTTGCACCCTGTCCTTGCTCATGAGCTCTCTTTACCCTAGGGCAGGGAGGCTTCAGGCTTCTTGAGCTGTTACGATGTGAAAGACTCTTCTGTTGGCTCTGCTGCTGCCTGGTTTTATATCTGTGGGGCAGAAGGCTTCATTAGCACACACACCTTGCAGTAAACGTGTCACTAAAAGATCTCTCCCCGTTTCAGGAGGGTGCCAAGTTCCTCTCAGCAAGGCTCTGGACAAGTCCCTTTTCTCCAGTTCTGCCCACCACTGTCGTCTCCTTTGCTCTGTAGGGGAGAACATGTCCTGCAGTTCTGGACTAGCTCCACATCTGTACCCTGCCATGGGCCACAGCTCAGTGCAGGTGAGTGCCAAAGAGCTCACAGGCTCCTGTTTCTGGGAGGGCTGTGTCCCCATGGCTCTTCTCCCTCTGCCTCATCTCCCCTGCTTTGCCATCCACTACCTCCTTCACTCACTAGGCTTTTTTCTCTCTTTTCTTTTGAGGTTTCCTTGCTGCCTTTGCAGTCAGGCTGTTGGAACCTTCATCCCTTCATCATCTGCATCTACGGCCTCATCTGCATCTTGCTTCATTTTAACAGGAGGATGTTTCTCCAGGCAGCACTGGGAGAACTAGCTAAGCACCTCACAGCACCCTCGGCCTCTTCCCCAGAAGTGTGAAGGGGCGTCTTCCCCCCTGGCTGCGACAGCTCAAAGCTGACTCTGAACAGGCACTGCAGACTACAGAAACATTGTTCCTGCAAGACCTGGTGCCCCTGAAGGGCTAGAGTGTGCCACCTGCCCTGCCAGTGGTTGTCTGTGGGACACAGTTGCTGGGCTTTGTCTGTTTTTACACAGGCTTTAGCATGGGTCTACAATTCATGCAATGAACACAGGTGAAACAAAACCCATGGACAGATCCTTGCTGGTGTAAATGGGTTGAGTTCAGCTGAGTCATGCTGGTTTATACTGGCTGAGGATCTGATACTAAATCCATTGGTTTTCTTAACCCAGCACTCCTCACGGCAGGTGGAAAGCCACCTTTTTAACTGGGTGCCACCCTATAGCACTAATTTCAAACAGCTTTACACATACTTAGTGACCCTGATCAGATACAACATTTTCTTGTGGGGGAAGCTCAGTGACAGCTAAAGACACACGAGAGGCTAGCTTGTCTCGAGGGTGTTCTAGCTGTCACTCAGCCAGCTGTGTGCCTCAAGCCCATGCTTGTCCCCGAGGAAGATGTGTGTGAAAAGGAGCCGTCTTGTCCCTCCCTTGGGCATGTACATGCAGATGAGGACTTCGAATGTGTGGATTTGGAAGCTATTTTGGCATGTTCTGCCCTAACTGTATCTCAGATCTTTCTCCTGCTGCTGCCGCTGCACCACCACGTGCCTTTTTTTTTTCTCCTCCTATTTAAGCCTCCTTACTTCCAAAAAGCTCTGTTTTTCACCCGCTCCTCTCTGTGGGGGGAAGTAGCTCCTTTGGGAGCTTCGAGATGAGGCTGAGATCATGTGAGGCTGGACATTCCTCTCCTGCTTCTGCTGCAGCCGGCTCCCACTGCTGCTCCGTGTGCTGTAGAGTCTGGTGCTCACGCCCTCAGCGCTCCTCGGCAGCTCCTTCAGAGACCTGCTCAGCTGCTTGCCTTTGCTGTGGAACATCTCACGCTTGTAAGTACTGCTGCTTACAGGAGTGCAGCTCTTAGGCAATGGCTGTAAGGCATGATCTGTCCTCTCTGGTTCTGATGTGAAGTTAACAGGCCTAAGGAAGCAAATGTCTAAGCTGGACTCGGAAGAGGCTGGGGAGCAATTCTCAAAGAGAGTGAGATTTTGGAAGGCATCATCTTCATAGGGGCCTGGCAGGGTGAAAACCTCCCCAGGGTAGTCAAACTCTTCGTAGCTTGGTGCAAAGTTCCTCGCATCCTGCAGCAGCTCCACAGAGGTCCTGATGGCTCTCTCGGTGTTTCCCACCGCATCAGCTGGTGGTGCTTCATACTCCATTTCAGGGATGGATTGTAAGGGAGCTGTCAGAGCCTTGAGTTCCTGCTCTGTGAGCTGAGAGGATGCAAGGATGTTCTCTGGCCTCTCATGTTTTCTACTTTCCATTTCCCAGTCAGGGGGCTTTACAGCCTGGATGTTCTCCATCACGGTTGGCTGGGGTTTCTTCATCTGGGGCATCAAGTGCCTTAAAAATAAGAAACAAAACGAAACAAAAAAAAAAAAAAACAGAAGGAAGTGGAATACTAAAGGATGACCAAGAGACAGCGTGA